ACATATCTTTAGTGTTTGTTTAGTCACGAGGAATACAAAGGAAAACTTGGAAAGTATCTGACAGCTACAGAACACGTCAATGACAGAAAATAAGGAAAGTAGCTCAAACTGGATTCCTAAATTTGTGTTTGGTTCTCCCAATGAGATATAGAAACACTTTCTTAAAACCCCTACCACGTCATACTTTTAGGAGTACCTAATTCTGAGCTACTTGAGCATAACTGGGCTGTAAAGGACTAAAAAGTTGAGTTTTAATATTAAAGTATTAGAGAAAGAGGCTAGTGGGTTTTCTGGTGGGAAGTTTTGGAAATCGATAAAACATCTCTCTCATTATATCCCCCCCCAATATTCCGCCTCCATTGGAGATCTCTCTGTGTTCCAAACCCTATATCAAATCCCCTAAAAATTGAACCAAAAAAAAGGAAATTTTGTGGGTTTTCATCAGAAACCCTAAAGTTATGTTGATCTGCTATCCGTTTCTTCTATTATACAAAAAATCCAGCCATACAGTTGGTGTATTTCAACTTTTTTGGTTTGCTTGTGTTTGATCTGCCTTCTCTCTCACACTTGAATCGTTCAATCGACCCCATTTGAAAGGTATAGTCACTTTGATTTAATTGTTTTTTCTCCTAAAAATATATATATTTTTGGTAATCTATGATTCTATGAAGATTATATGTCGCATCTAAAATATAAAGTTATGATTTTTACCATAAAAAAGGAGTCTTGTTGTTTGTTTCGTGATTTTTTTGGTCAATGAAATAAAATTTTATTCATCTCCCAAATATTAAAAGTGTGAGTACATCAAAGCTCCACCAGTTCATCTCTGGCAAGAAAAAAAAAACAGATTCTCATCAAGCTATTTAGCTTACATTTTCCCTATTTTTTCCTTTATATGTTCAGGAATTTCTTCATTTAGCACATTTGATAAGATAGAAATCTTCACCTCTCTGACTAACTGAGCAGGTGTATGGAGCTTCCCTTGAAAGATTCTCAAGTTTCTTTCCATCCAAATCCAATATACAGTCGCCGACAATGCCATTCTCTTTATCTTCTTCATGAATCCCTTTCCTTTCAGATTTGTAATATACTAGTTCATAACTTGATCCCAGCTACATGATCTCCATGAGTAGTCTAACCATTCCATTATTACATTCCAAATATGTGCTGAATGCTAACATTCAAAAAATAGATGCTTACATGTTTCCTGTTGAACTGAGCATAAGATACACTGGTTTTCATTTAGCATTCTCAGCCTACATAATCTGCCCTTTGTCAGTAGCATGGAGAGGGTGGTTAGCCACAAAATAACTGAATGTTTAGGATAGTGTAAGCCACCCCAAATTGTATCCGACCATGTAGCATGTGTTCCTGAATGGGTCAGAGCTTTATATACAGCTGATATCTGTAACTTTCCATTTACATAACAATTATTCATAGTTCTTTGCAGGTTGCTTCTATCTCCAAATTTTCTAAGAGCCATATCTCTTACTTTGAGTAATTGCCTCCACATCCAAGAACCAGTTCCCTTTGATTGAACCTGCCATATATCCAGTTGGTGTATATACTTTTCATGCACTCATTTGATCCACAATATATCTTTTTTGATGTGAAAATCATCCATAGCAATTTGATTACAGGTGCATAGTTCCAATCCTTTGTAGTGTATAAACCCAGACCTCCCATCTTCTTGTCTTTGCATATATCACACCAAGAGACTAGATGTGTCTTGCAATTCCATAAGAAATCAGAGCAAAGTTTATCAATTTTTTGCAGAACCTTGATGGGTAGCACATAGTTACTTGTCCAGTAATTCTGAATCCCTATAATGACAGATTTAATCAATTGAATTCTTCCTGCATATGATAGCTTCCTTCTGTTCTGCCATCTTTGAAACTGCTCCGAGATTTTTCTTATCAATGGTGAGCAATCTAGATGAGTAAGCCTTTTAGAAATCAGAGGCATCCCCAAGTATCTAACTGGTAGAGAGCCTTCTTAGTAATTCAGGCGAGAACAGATCTGGCCTTTGATATTATCTTCAACTCCACCCAAGTACACAGCACATTTACTTGGATTTGCCTCCAAACCAGATACCCTGCTAAAATCTTGAAGACAACCATGCAATTTACTAACTGAGTTCATATCAGCTCTTCAAAATAGCAATAAATCATCTGCAAAGATTAAGCGAGTTATTCCCAAGCCAGAACATTTAGGGTGATATTTGAACAAAGTGTCAGTTTTGAGTTTTTTTAACCTCCTGGACAAGTACTCCATCCCAATAACAAACAAGTATGATGATAAAGGATCACCCTGCCTCAATCCCCTTGCTCCCTCAAAGTATCCATGCAGTGACCTATTGAGAGATAGAGAAAATTTTGTAGTAGTTACACATGCCATAATCCATCCTACCATATTAGCTGGAAATCCCAAACCTGTTAGCATGGTCTTGATAAAGCTCCATCTTATTGTATCAAAAGCCTTCCTCAAATCTATGTTGAGGGTAGCCCTAGGAGATATGTGACTTTTACCATAATGCTTGACAAGCTCATGTGCAAGTAGAATATTATTTGAGACAATCCTTCCTTTGACAAAGGCACTCTGTGCATCATCAATTATATACCCTATAATTTTCGGTCATTATTTTTGAGATCACTTTATAGACACAATTACAACAAGAAATTGGTCTGAAATAAGAAGGTGAGCTGGGATTTAGAACTTTAGGAACTAATGTGATGGTTGTTGTGTTGAGAGAGCCAAGAAGCTTACCAGACTTGAAAATTTCCTGCACAGCTTTAATCATGTCTTCACCAATGATATCCCAAGCACTTTTGAAGAAGGATGCACTATAACCATCAGGTCCAGGGGCTTTTTCACCAGGAATTGCAAATACAGCTTGTTTAATCTCTTCTTTGGTGATAGGAGATCCTAGAGTACTTCTATGGGAGTCTGTGAGAATAGGGCCATCAGAGATAATTGCAGGATCTGGCTCTGTTGTGTTCACTGCGTTGCCCAGCATCTTCTTATAGTACTCCACAAGTTCAGCTACATTTCTGGCATATCTGTAAGCCTCCTTCCATCCTTTGAATAAAGAGTTAACACTCTATTTTGATGTCTTTTGGTTTTATTGTTTTTATATGTGTGGATAGGATGAATATTTGATGTACGCAAATTATATTACAAACTTATTAGATATTGGACTATTTTGTGAACGCCAAATCTCAAAAGTTGTTCAGTTACGCTTAGAATACCAATTCCCTTCAAGGGAACAAAAAAAATTTGAAAAAATTCATAAGTTCAAGTAGTTATCAATGCTTATGCATGCAAGAGATAATCATAGTTTTTGTAGATAATTAATAATTTTCTTTAACGTTTAAATAACTGTTAGATTTTGCAAAAAAAAAAAAATTTAACCATACCATACAAATCACAGTCTTGGTTAATGTTTATATTTTCAGTTTCAATTACTGGTATATTAAAATCCATTTATAGATAGTACTTGCATGCTCATTAACTTTGGTATTGCATATGATTATGTAGCTTCCTATTTATGCACAATTTACACATGTTAATGTCATTTGGTTCTTGCAGATGGATAATGTGGAGGAAGAAATGGTTGAGGATAATTTCTGGGGGTGCAATGACTGTCATGATAGCTATTATTCCCATGGTCCTGACGATGTAATCTTGACACACACACACACAACAGAAACACTAGTCCAACTCAACTTCAAACTATTCATGTTAGCAAATAAATAAGATGGGTAGATTCAACTAGCATCGAGCACAAGCATTCAGAGTTAACTAGACCACACCCTTCAGAAGTCCGTTAGTACAAAAAGACCCAAGTTTCTCACTGCACCTGCATCCTAATTGCTATTCAAGATTGCAATTTTTATAAATTAACAGCATCTAGGTTCATATAAAAACAGTGTTTCCCGAAAAAAAAGGTCGAACACAAGTTTCCAACAATTCCAATCTTGCATACTTAAATAAGTTATGCTATGGCAAGACAATGTGCACCTATAACGGCTCATTATGTCGTGCATTACTATGTAGCCTAATGATATTCCAACATGCATTTCATATGAGCACAATCACAACCCTCGAACAGCCACTGCGGCAAAAGTCCAATAATCTTGCAACTGAAAATCTATCACGAAAAGCAGAATTATTAATTTCAGAGAAAAGAACAATTAAAAATGAAAAAAAAAACTCAATTAAGACAAAGATACCAGTCCCTGCATGTCTCCATAATTTCATTTATCATTTTTGCCACCAATAAACATCCATTTTGAGCATGTGTTGTGCATGGTGTGAGAGACGGTGCCAAAACACTGTTAATTTATTGAATCAAAAAATAGCGATAAAAAAGTAATTATATAAGAGGTGATCCCATCATGTTCTTGCATGTAAAGATACTTTTGAGTAGTGAGTACATAACTGAATAAGCAAACTATTTCATGGAAAGAATATGTGGACGTAAACATCAAGATCTCAACAAAGTATTGAACCCTTCAATGGAGGGTGCGAGTGTTGTTTCCCTATTGCTACGAGAGGGTTATTATACATAGAGAACACTGTATACACACAAACACGAACGCATGCACGCGCATAGGAAAAAGTATTCCTAATGTGACACCTTATATCCAATCAAAGGAAACACGTCTCTTGATCCTAGGATTAGACTATTCCAATAAATAATCAGCTCCATTCATTATGATTTAAATGTTTAAAACATCTACAAAATAAAAATCATGATGCGTAACACATATTTTTCAGCGTCTCGGTAGTTATATTATCATAACACCATTATTTTAAAACCACTTAATGCATTATGCCTTTTTTTTTTTTTGCATACAATCTAAGGCATATAAATCAAAATGAATTGAATCGAGTAAACTGACTGCACATAATAAAGTTTTGGAGGCACTTTCTTAGATTTAGTCTAAGGTATCACCTTAGAAACACTTTTCCCCACACACAAAGATCACACCTTAGATTAAATCTAAGAGAGCGTCTCCAAGACTACATTATATGCAATCAATTTACTCGATCGTCATAATTTTAGAGAACGTTGTACATCTCTAGTTCAGTTTAGTAAAGCCAGGATGAGAATGTTGATTTCACTCTTCCAAAAAAAGGGTTATTATGAGAGAGAGAGAGAGAGAGAGCGAGAGAGAGGAGAGAGAGAGAGAGAGAGAGAGAGAGAGAGAGAGAGAGAGAGAGTTACTGCATCTTTTATCAATTTTTTGCAGAACCTTGATGGGTAGCACATAGTTACTTGTCCAGTAATTCTGAATCCCTATAATGACAGATTTAATCAATTGAATTCTTCCTGCATATGATAGCTTCCTTCTGTTCTGCCATCTTTGAAACTGCTCCGAGATTTTTCTTATCAATGGTGAGCAATCTAGATGAGTAAGCCTTTTAGAAATCAGAGGCATCCCCAAGTATCTAACTGGTAGAGAGCCTTCTTAGTAATTCAGGCGAGAACAGATCTGGCCTTTGATATTATCTTCAACTCCACCCAAGTACACAGCACATTTACTTGGATTTGCCTCCAAACCAGATACCCTGCTAAAATCTTGAAGACAACCATGCAATTTACTAACTGAGTTCATATCAGCTCTGCAAAATAGCAATAAATCATCTGCAAAGATTAAGCGAGTTATTCCCAAGCCAGAACATTTAGGGTGATATTTGAACAAAGTGTCAGTTTTGAGTTTTTTTAACCTCCTGGACAAGTACTCCATCCCAATAACAAACAAGTATGATGATAAAGGATCACCCTGCCTCAATCCCCTTGCTCCCTCAAAGTATCCATGCAGTGACCTATTGAGAGATAGAGAAAATTTTGTAATAGTTACACATGCCATAATCCATCCTACCATATTAGCTGGAAATCCCAAACCTGTTAGCATGGTCTTGATAAAGCTCCATCTTATTGTATCAAAAGCCTTCCTCAAATCTATGTTGAGGGTAGCCCTAGGAGATATGTGACTTTTACCATAATGCTTGACAAGCTCATGTGCAAGTAGAATATTATTTGAGACAATCCTTCCTTTGACAAAGGCACTCTGTGCATCATCAATTATATACCATATAACTTTCTGAATTCTAGTGGTCATTATTTTTTAGATCACTTTATAGACACAATTACAACAAGAAACTGGTCTGAAATAAGAAGGTGAGCTGGGATTTAGAACTTTAGGAACTAATGTGATGGTTGTTGTGTTGAGAGAGCCAAGAAGCTTACCAGACTTGAAAATTTCCTGCACAGCTTTAATCATGTCTTCACCAATGATATCCCAAGCACTTTTGAAGAAGGATGCACTATAACCATCAGGTCCAGGGGCTTTTTCACCAGGAATTGCAAATACAGCTTGTTTAATCTCTTCTTTGGTGATAGGAGATCCTAGAGTACTTCTATGGGAGTCTGTGAGAATAGGGCCATCAGAGATAATTGCAGGATCTGGCTCTGTTGTGTTCACTGCGTTGCCCAGCATCTTCTTATAGTACTCCACAAGTTCAGCTACATTTCTGGCATATCTGTAAGCCTCCTTCCATCCTTTGAATAAAGAGTTAACACTCTATTTTGATGTCTTTTGGTTTTATTGTTTTTATATGTGTGGATAGGATGAATATTTGATGTACGCAAATTATATTACAAACTTATTAGATATTGGACTATTTTGTGAACGCCAAATCTCAAAAGTTGTTCAGTTACGCTTAGAATACCAATTCCCTTCAAGGGAACAAAAAAAATTTGAAAAAATTCATAAGTTCAAGTAGTTATCAATGCTTATGCATGCAAGAGATAATCATAGTTTTTGTAGATAATTAATAATTTTCTTTAACGTTTAAATAACTGTTAGATTTTGCAAAAAAAAAAAAATTTAACCATACCATACAAATCACAGTCTTGGTTAATGTTTATATTTTCAGTTTCAATTACTGGTATATTAAAATCCATTTATAGATAGTACTTGCATGCTCATTAACTTTGGTATTGCATATGATTATGTAGCTTCCTATTTATGCACAATTTACACATGTTAATGTCATTTGGTTCTTGCAGATGGATAATGTGGAGGAAGAAATGGTTGAGGATAATTTCTGGGGGTGCAATGACTGTCATGATAGCTATTATTCCCATGGTCCTGACGATGTAATCTTGACACACACACACACACACAACAGAACACTAGTCCAACTCAACTTCAAACTATTCATGTTAGCAAATAAATAAGATGGGTAGATTCAACTAGCATCGAGCACAAGCATTCAGAGTTAACTAGACCACACCCTTCAGAAGTCCGTTAGTACAAAAAGACCCAAGTTTCTCACTGCACCTGCATCCTAATTGCTATTCAAGATTGCAATTTTTATAAATTAACAGCATCTAGGTTCATATAAAAACAGTGTTTCCCGAAAAAAAAGGTCGAACACAAGTTTCCAACAATTCCAATCTTGCATACTTAAATAAGTTATGCTATGGCAAGACAATGTGCACCTAGAACGGCTCATTATGTTGTGCATTACTATGTAGCCTAATGATATTACAACATGCATTTCATATGAGCACAATCACAACCCTCGAACAGCCACTGCGGCAAAAGTCCAATAATCTTGCAACTGAAAATCTATCACGAAAAGCAGAATTATTAATTTCAGAGAAAAGAACAATTAAAAATGAAAAAAATCAATTAAGACAAAGATACCAGTCCCTGCATGTCTCCATAATTTCATTTATCATTTTTGCCACCAATAAACATCCATTTTGAGCATGTGTTGTGCATGGTGTGAGTGCCAAAACACTATTAATTTATTGAATAAAAAAATAGCGATAAAAAAGTAATTATATAAGAGGTGATCCCATCATGTTCTTGCATGTAAAGATACTTTTGAGTAGTGAGTACATAACTGAATAAGCAAACTATTTCATGGAAAGAATATGTGGACTAAAGATACTTTTGAGTAGTGAGTACATAACTGAATAAGCAAACTATTTCATGGAAAGAATATGTGGACGTAAACATCAAGATCTCAACAAAGTATTGAACCCTTCAATGGAGGGTGCGAGTGTTGTTTCAATGTTTCCCTATTGCTACGAGAGGGTTATTAACTTATTATACATAGAGAACACTGTATACACCCAAACACGAACGCATGCACGCGCATAGGAAAAAGTATTCCTAATGTGACACCTTATATCCAATCAAAGGAAACACGTCTCTTGATCCTAGGATTAGACTATTCCAATAAATAATCAGCTCCATTCATTCTGATTTAAATGTTTAAAACATCTACAAAATAAAAATCATGATGCGTAACACATATTTTTCAGCGTCTCGGTAGTTATATTATCACAAAACCATTAATTTAAAACCACTTAATGCATTATGCCTATTTTTTTTTTTTGTTTACATACAATCTAAGGCATATAAATCAAAATGAATTGAATCGAGTAAACTGACTGCACATAATAAAGTTTTGGAGGCACTTTCTTAGATTTAGTCTAAGGTATCACCTTAGAAACACTTTTCCCCACACACAAAGATCACACCTTAGATTAAATCTAAGAGAGCGTCTCCAAGACTACATTATATGCAATCAATTTACTCGATCGTCATAATTTTAGAGAACGTTGTACATCTCTAGTTCAGTTTAGTAAAGCCAGGATGAGAATGTTGATTTCACTCTTCCAAGGAAAGGGTTATTATGAGAGAGAGAGAGAGAGAGAGAGAGGGATGAGAATGTTGATTTCACTCTTCCAAGGAAAGGGTTATTATGAGAGAGAGAGAGAGAGAGAGAGAGTTACTGCATTTAACTACAAAACATAATCAAGATGTATCACGTGTTATTTGTTTTGCATATAATTTCGTCTTAACACCTCAGAAGTCGTCCACAGAGCTTAAAAAAACAGAAAAGACTAAGAAACGCTAGACTTCTGTGAGTACTGATTATACTACTTTCTATTATCCCAAAGAAAATAAGTAGGCAGCATGTGGAATTATCCCATGTGAGTACATGTTTGATGGTCGTGGTTTCATTGTTCTCATATAATTGCCAAGCATTGACCACCATGAATGTTTATATCAAAGATGCCTCTCACGTATTAAATAGCCAAAAAGAACTCAAGGAAAACCCATACAAAAGCTTATGGCCAGGGAAATATATCATGATTGTAAAGGAAACCAGATGCTTCCAACGTGGAACTGTTCCTGTTGCTGTTGCTCCTTTATTTGATGCTATATCAATTTTTCATTTCCACTGCGTTTACTTTTTGGTATTATTTCCGCTGCGATCAAGTGCTGAAATTAAAATTTGTCTGTGCTCGTGCGAAAGAACGAAGGGTTTGAACCCGAGCTTCGTGCTCATCGTTATTCCCAATTTGTTCGTGCTAGTTGCTTCACACACTTTGAGCCTAATAAATTTTGAAAAATTTTCCTAGCTATATTTGCATTTTATGTTTCTGAAAAAAAAATTTCAGTTATTGTTTGTGCTCGTGTGGAAGAACAAAGAGATTGAAACAAGAACTTTGTGTTCATCGTTCTTTTCAGTTATTGTTTGTGCTCGTGTGGAAGAACAAAGAGATTGAAACAAGAACTTTGTGTTCATCGTTCTTCTCATTTGTTCGTGCTAGTTGCTTCAGTTCATCGTTCTTCTCATTTGTTCGTGCTAGTTGCTTCACACGTTTCGAGCCGGATAATTACCGAAATCTGATTTGTTCGTGCTAGTTGCTGTTTGTTTTTCTGTGCGAAGAATGTTTGCTGCTAATCAATATGGTATGGTTCCGTTCAACGGAAAATCTGATTTTAGCATTTGGAAATAAAAAATAAAAAACATTTTAATTTAACAGAAGTCTTTTAGGGCTGTTGGTCAGACTTATTTGACTTCTGACACTGAAGAAAAAAGGGCTGAAATGAACGAAAATGCTTGTTCCACAGTTTATTTGAACTTATCTGACTCTGTGCTTAGAAAAGTTGAAATTTTGGAATCTGCTAAAACCCTTTGGGATAAACTTGAAGAACTCTATACTGAAACCTCTTTGCCCAGTAAAATATTTTTGCTTGAAATTTTTTTCAAATTTAGATTAGATATGTCTAAGGACATTGAGCAGAACCTAGATGTTTTCACAAAACTTATTTCAGATATTAAGTTAACTGGTGATAAACATATAGACGACTATACTCCTATTGCCCTTCTAAATGCTATTCCTGACTCATATAGTGATGTAAAATCTGCTATTAAATATGGTAGAGATGAGGTTACCCTTGACATTATGGTCAATGGTCTTAAGAGTAAGGAATTAGATTTAAAACATTCTGGGGGAAATAAAAATTCTGGTGAGGTTATGCATGTGAGGGGTAGGCCTCAGACTAGGTCTAATAACCAAAAGAATGCTAGTAATGGGGAATCAAGTAGGAAAAAATTCAAAAATAAAAGGGGTAGATCTAAGTCTAGGTTTAAAGTTAAAAAATGTTATAATTATCATAAAACTGGTCACTTTATTAAATATTGTCCTAAGCCTAAGAAAAATCAGCAAAATGATCATGCTAATATGGCTGTCTATGAGGGCAAAATAGGTGAAATTTTCATGATTAATAATCTTTGTGATTATGCATATTTGAACTCTGTGTTATCTGATTCTTTGTGTAAATCAGATTGGTTAGTACATATTTGAACTCTGTGTTATCTGATTCTTTGTGTAAATCAGATTGGTTAGTAGACTCTGGTTGTACTTTTCATATGAGATTCTTTGTGTAAATCAGATTGGTTAGTAGACTCTGGTTGTACTTTTCATATGACTCCTTTTAAAACCATGTTTTCAAACTACAAGAAAATAGAGAATGACTTTGTGGTAATGACAAATAAAAAGAAATGTAATGTTTTAGGAACTGATGATGTATGCCTTAGGTTTTCTTCTGGTTCTGTGTTTACTTTGAAGGATGTTAGGCATGTTCCTGATTTACGTTATAACTTGATTTCTTGTGCATCTCTAGAAAATGATGGTTTGGAGGGAAAATGGGGTAAAGGGGTTATGAAAATTTTGAAAGGTTCTCTTGTTATTTTTACTGCTAAAAAACAAAATAATTTGTATGTTTGTCATGTTGAACATGTGCTTGCTTCTGTTAACTCTGTGATAGGTGATAAATCTGTTTCATGACATAATAGATTAGGTCACATGAGTAACAAAGGATTAGAAATTTTGCATAAAGGATGTCACTTTGGTTGTGATAAAATATCCCCTATTCCTTTCTGTGAATCTTGTGTGTTAGGAAAACAACATAGGGTTAGTTTTCCTATTTCTTCTTTTCCTAATCAGTCTAAGTGCACTGATGTACTTGAATATTTGCATGCTGATGTGGGGGGTCCCTTTAGTGTTCTTACGCATAGAGGGAACCAATATTTTATTTCCATAATTGATGATTATTTTAGAAAAGTTTGGGTTTTACTCATGAAACAAAAATTTGAAGTTTTTGATAAATTTAAAAACTGGAAAATTATGATTGAAAACCAAACGGGAAAGAAAATTAAAACTCTTAGAACAGACAATGGTCTTGAGTTTTGTAACAAACAATTGAATGATTTGTGTGCTACTTGGGGTATTAAAAGATATAAATTTGTTCTCTACACACCCCAGCAAAATGGGGTTGCTGAAACGATGAATAGAACTCTCTTAGAGAGGGTGAGGGCCATGTTGGCCACATCTGGGCTCTCTAAGAAGTTATGGTGAGAAGCTGTTTGTAATGCAACCTATTTAATTAACAGGTCTCCTTCTGTTCCCTTAGGAGGGAAATGCCCTGAATTTGTGTTCACGGACAAACCTCTTGATTTAAATAATTTGAGAATTTTTGGGTGTGCTGGCTATGTGCATCAAAGGATTAAGTTAGAACCTAGATCTAAGAAATATGTTTTCTTATTTTTTTTTATGGTCAATGAACGAAAACTTTATTCATCACCAAATGTAGAAATGAATGCGCACATCCAATTACAAGAAGCCTAGAGACTGGTTATATGAATCCAGTCAACACTCATTTACAAATCCTCTATGTAATCTTTCATATGATGTGGTATATTCTCATTTAAAATCTTCGTGTATATACACAACTTCACCGCATGGAATAGCTGATCAGGCCCTCTGGCTTTATGCTGAAAAAGCCTTAGATTTCTCTCTTGCCAAAGCAGATAGACAGATACTGACAGTGCAATTCTTTTCAATTTCTTTTTGAAGCTTTTACCCCTCAAATTCCTATTGTACCAATCAAAAATCTGGTTCCAACTACATGATTGCCAGTTGAACTTCAGCTATTCCATTACTTTCCTCCAAATATATGCAGAATATTGACAATCAAAGAAGATATGCTGACAGGTTTCTGCCTGGCCATCTCTCGAGCACAATATGCACTGGTTAGAGCTTACCACTCTCATTTTGCATAGTCTCTCTTGTGTGAGTAATCTGGAGAGAGAAGTTAGCCACAGAATAAATGAATGTTTGGGGTAATGCCACCCCCCCCCCCCCCAACTGATCCTTCATACAAAGCAGGCCCCCCCCCCCCCCCCCCCCAAACAGTCCCTGATCCTTCATACAAAGCAGGCTGCTGCTGAAAAAGCACCATGTAGATTGATGAAATGCTGA